CTACGGACAATTCCTTCAACCTCATGGCTTGGTTTTTGCTCTGACATGCACTGTCAACTGTGGGACCTTATATAGAGAGGTGTGTGCCTTTCCAAATCAAGTCCAATCAACTGAATTTACCATAGGTGGACTCCAATCAAGTTGTAGAAACATCCCATGATAAATGGAAACAGGATGCACCTGAGCTCAATTTCGAGTCTCATAGCAAAGGGCCTGAATACTTAAGTAAATAAGGTATCTTTATTTTTTGTTGCAAACATTTCAAAAAACCTGTTTTCGCTTTGTCATTATGGGGTATTGTGTTTAGATTGATGAGCGAATAAAAACATGTTTTTTTAGAATAAGGCTGTAGCGTAACAACATGTGGAAAAAGTCATGGGGTCTGAATACTTTCTGAATGTACTGTAAGTCAAGGGGTATGAATACTTTCTGAAGGCACTATACAGTGGGCTCTAAAATTACTGGCAACCCTGACTGGCAATGCACAAACAATACTTTAAAAAAAATCAACAATATAATTATAGAGATAAACTCAAAATACCAATGTGTGAGAAATACTGTACTTTATTAATGTTTCAATGGAACCAACCAAAATCATACAGTTATTTAATACAAAATGAATTTCACCAAAATCAAGGTTTCATAATTATTGGCACTCCTCATTTAGTACTTAGTGCAACCACTACAGGATAACAGCATGGAGTCTTTTCCTGTAATGTTTGACAAGGTTAAGGAACACATTTGGAGGGATTTTGGAACATTCCTCTACGCAGATCCTTTCAAGATCCTTCACATTCTTGGGTTTGTGTTTATCAACTGCCCTCTTAAACTCAGCCCACAGATTTTCAATTGGATTGACGTCCGGCAACTGAGATGGCCATGGCAGAACATTGATTTTGTTGTCACAGAACCATTTCTGTGTGGATCTTGAGGTATGTTTTGGATCATTGTCTTGTTGGAAAGTCCACCTACGGCCAAGTCCCAGCCTTCTGGCAGAGGCAACCAGATTGTCAGCCAAAATTGCCTGATACTTGGTGGAATTCATTATGCCATCAATCTCAACCAGTGCCCCTGGACCTCTGGAATTAAAACAGCCCCAAAACATCACTCTCCCACCACCATATTTCAAGGTGGGTATGAGGTGCCTCTCCTTATATGCATCTCTGTTTCGACGCCAAACATGCCGATGCTGTATCTGACCAAAACGTTCAATTTTGGTCTCGTCTGACCAGAGCACCTTCTTCTAGTCATAATTTAAATGACGTTTGGCAAACATCAAGCGCTTGCATCTGTGTCTTGGGGTCAGAAAGGGCTTTCTTCTGGCAACCCTTACAAAGAGCCTGTGGAGGTGGCGTCTGATGGTGCTTTTTGAAACCTGGTGACCCCAAGACGCCACCAAGGCCTGCAATTCTTTCACAGTGATTCTTGGGGATTTTGTTGCTTCTCTCACCATCCTCCTCCCTATCCTGGGGGGCAAAATGCATTTGCTTCCTCTACCCGTGAGGTTTTCAACTGTTCCATATCTTTTAAATGTTTTAATAATTGCCCTGACAGTGCTCAGTGGTATATTCAATAGTTTGTGGATCTTCTTGTAGCCATTACCAGATTTATGAAGGTCTACAACCATCTGTCTCTTTTGAACTGCCAGTTATTGTCAAGGGGTGCTGAAGGTGGGTGTGGTGCATGAATCAAGCGCAGGACGCAGAAGCTCAGTCCAAAAGACTTTAGTGCAATATTCACGTAGAAAATAAGCACAATAAGCCCGAAGGCAAAATAACGGCGCACACAGGCGTCAAACAAACAGCGCACTAATATGTGCGAAAAACCTCTCCAAAACACTGGAGGGAAGTACGTAGCTCCAACACGAAACAGAAGAGCAATCCCACACAAAGACAAACACACACAACGAGAACTAAATAGGACACTAACGAGGACTAACAAGACACAGGTGTACAACATCAAGACAAAACCAAACGAACATGAAACATAGATCGGTGGCAGCTAGTACTCCGGGGACGACGACCGCCGAAGCCTGCCCGAACCAGGAGGAGGAGCAGCCTCGGCCGAAACCGTGACAGTTATTTTGTTTTCTTTATGGTGTTGGATGACAAAGGGATATTGCATGCGTGTTACCTCATTTTTATACCCTAGTGAAACAGAAAATGATGTAATGGCTCAATATACACTGCTCAAAAAAATAAAGGGAACACTTAAACAACACAATGTAACTCCAAGTCAATCACACTTCTGTGAAATCAAACTGTCCACTTAGGAAGCAACACTGATTGACAATAAATGTCACATGCTGTTGTGCAAATGGAATAGACAACAGGTGGAAATTATAGGCAATTAGCAAGACACCCCCAATAAAGGACTGATTTGCAGGTGGTGACCACAGACCACTTCTCAGTTCCTATGCTTCCTGGCTGATGTTTTGGTCACTTTTGAATGCTGGCTGTGCTTTCACTCTAGTGGTAGCATGAGACGGAGTCTACAACCCACACAAGTGGCTCGGGTAGTGCAGCTCATCCAGGATGGCACATCAATGCGAGCTGTGGCAAGAAGGTTTGCTGTGTCTGTCAGCGTAGTGTCCAGAGCATGGAGGCGCTACCAGAAGACAGGCCAGTACATCAGGAGACGTGGAGGAGGCCGTAGGAGGGCAACAACCCAGCAGCAGGACTGCTACCTCGGCCTATGTGCAAGGAGGAGCAGGAGGAGCACTGCCAGAGCCCTGCAAAATGACCTCCAGCAGGCCACAAATGTGCATGTGTCTGCTCAAACGGTCAGAAACAGACTCCATGAGGGTGGTATGAGGGCCCGACGTCCACAGGTGGGGGTTGTGCTTACAGCCCAACACCGTGCAGGACGTTTGGCATTTGCCAGAGAACACCAAGATTGGCAAATTCGCCACTGGCGCCCTGTGCTCTTCACAGATGAAAGCAGGTTCACACTGTGACAGACGTGACAGAGTCTGGAGACGCCGTGGAGAACGTTCTGCTGCCTGCAACATCCTCCAGCATGACCGGTTTGGCGCTGGGTCAGTCATGGTGTGGGGTGGCATTTCTTTGGGGGGCCGCACAGCCCTCCATGTGCTCGCCAGAGGTCTCGCCAGAGGTAGCCTGACTGCCATTAGGTACCGAGATGAGATCCCCAGACCCCTTGTGAGACCATATGCTGATGCGGTTGGCCCTGGGTTCCTCCTAATGCAAGACAATGCTAGACCTCATGTGGCTGGAGTGTGTCAGCAGTTCCTGCAAGAGGAAGGCATTGATGCTATGGACTAGCCCGCCCGTTCCCCAGACCTGAATCCAATTGAGCACATCTGGGACATCATGTCTCGCTCCATCCACCAACGCCACGTTGCACCACAGACTGTCCAGGAGTTGGCGGATGCTTTAGTCCAGGTCTGGGAGGAGATCCCTCAGGAGACCATCCGCCACCTCATCAGGAGCATGCCCAGGCATTGTAGGGAGGTCATACAGGCACGTGGAGGCCACACACACTACTGAGCCTCATTTTGACTTGTTTTAAGGACATTACATCAAAGTTGGATCAGCCTGTAGTGTGGTTTCCACTTTAATTTTGAGGGTGACTCCAAATCCAGACCTCCATGGGTTGATACATTTGATTTCCATTGATAATTTTTGTGTGATTTTGTTGTCAGCACATTCAACTATGTAAAGAAAAAAGTATTTATTAAGATTATTTCATTCATTCAGATCTAGGATGTGTTATTTTAGTGTTCCCTTTATTTTTTTGCGCAGTGTAGTTCCTTAAGACTTAGATAAACTGGAATTTAATTCCTGGTTTAATTTTGGTAGATGTTATTTACAATAATCTTTAAAGGTGCCATTAATTGTGAAACCTTGATTTGGAGGACATTGATTTTTAATTAAATCAATAAATGATTTTGGTGGGTTCCATTATAACATTAATATAGTACAGTATTTCTCAAATGTTGGTCTTTTGAGTTTATCTCTATAATTATATTGTTTATATTTTTTAAAGTATTGTTTGTGCATTGCCAGTCAGGGGTGCCAGTAATTTTGGAGCCCACTGTATTTTGAACTATTTTTAATGATATTGACTACTTTAAAGTAGTTTGGTATACAGCATCTATGGATGCATATCTTCAAACACAATATTTTCCATGACTCTAGCTCAAACAATGTGACCGCTATGAGCCAATGAGCTTGCAAAATGTTTTTTTCCTTTCCAACAGCATCACCATGCGGACAAACTGAACTATACTTTACAGGTTAGCTAGGTTCATATCCCTGAGCATGTGTGCCACATTTCATCATTCTGAGTTAAACAGATCAAGAGATATAAACATGTTCCCGTTATAGCTCCACCGTGTCGATTTGAATGTGCTTGCACTTGTTGAGTCTTCATAGTGTTTGGAACATATGTACAACATTTTGTTACAATACGAATATATGTGACTGATTTATATGCACTTATGTGCCAGACCACGCACAATTAAATGCTTATTGTTCAGTAACGGCCATGTTGTTTTCAGTCTGGAAAACATTGCGTTGTGAGAACTTTGTCCATAACCAGAATAATATTAACCAACAACAACAAAATCAATAGGGTTTCACCAGCTTCGTTGGCTTGAACCCCTAATAACAGATATGTGCTTGTGGCGGTGGCTGTTTGAGAAGGAGAGTTGTAATGTGTAGCTCATTTAGCTCCCACCAGGCTGATGAGCAACCCGGGGCTACTGTGGGTAAAGCTGAAGGTCAGCCCTGTGTGACAGGCCCTTTCCCTGGACACAGTGTAGGGCCCCTACAAGGCATTGCATGGCAACATGATAATTATTCTGCTAGCTAATCACTTTGATTCATCTCAGTTCGTTTGAGATCAGTTTAACTAATCCAGGGAGCCTAACACTGGAGCAGCAGGGAGTGCTAATGTGTTACACACTGACCTTAAAGATTGGTAACTTTATCTCTCCATGAATCTCTGTCTGTTTCCTGCTGTCTCGCTCATCTCAGATGTGCTGCCCTCCGGAGCGGGTGAAAAGACAGGTACCATGCTGTCTGACGGTGCCATCTACAGCAGTATAGACTTCACAGGCAAGGCGGGCTACAGCAGCCCAGCACGTGGCAGCCAGGCCACCCCCTACGCCACCACTCAGATCCTGCAGTCCAACAGCTTCCATGAGCTGGCTGTGGACAGACCAGACCCTCGCTGGAAGGCTTCCCTTCGAGCCCAGCAGGAGATGGCCAACCTGGGCTACTCATTGACCGACGGACGCCCCTGCAACAGTACGCCACTGCGTGTGTGCTCTAAAGGAGCGTGCCCTAAAGCATAGCATCAGATCTCCCTAGATTGTAGCATCGGCTGGATGGTCAGTCACCGAGTGAAACTTAGCATTCATTAGATGGCTTTTTGGAATAACAATAGGAGTAGTAGAGGGGGAGGAAAAGAGAGATAAAGAAAGAAAGAATGTTAGAGTCTGGAATCAATAGAAGAAGAGATTATTTTCAGTAGATTGTTTGGAAAAGAGAGCAGAATGTTGAGTTGACACTGTTATCCAGAGCAATTAGGGTTAAGTGCCTTGCTCAAGGGCACATCGACAGATTTCTCACCTAGTTGGCTCGGGGATTCGAACCAGCAACATTTCGGTTACTGTCCCAAAGCTCTTAACCACTTGGCTACCTGCCGCCTTCAATAGAGAGAGCAGACAGGGAAAGAGAGAGAGCACACAAAAAAACAAGTTAAAGAGCGCGAGAGAGGGGGGCAGCAGAGAGAGGGGAATGTTATATTTACATTTTCATTGAAAATGGACCCTGAGGATATTGTTGTTAATCGCTCCTCTCTCTTCATGTCGATTTCTACTCCTCAGCCTCAGGAGTTTTTCTACCCTAGAAATGTCAGAGAATTAAGGCGCATTTCTTTGGATTCATTTGATTAGCAGAGGCAGGGATTCCTTTGTGTTTTGACCCGTGGATATACAGTGGGGGAAAAAAGTATTTAGTCAGCCACCAATTGTGCAAGTTCTCCCACTTAAAAAGAGAGGCCTGTAATTTTCATCATAGGTACACGTCAACTATGACAGACAATGAGAAAAAAAAATCCTGAAAATCACATTGTAGGATTTTTTATGAATTTATTTGCAAATTATGGTGGGAAATAAGTATTTGGTCAATAACAAAAGATTCTCAATACTTTGTTATATACCCTTTGTTGGCAATGACACAGGTCAAACGTTTTCTGTAAGTCTTCACAAGGTTTTCACACACTGTTGCTGGTATTTTGGCCCATTCCTCCATGCAGATCTCCTCTAGAGAGCAGTGATGTTTTGGGGCTGTCGCTTGGCAACACCCTCCAAAGATTTTCTATGGGGTTGAGATCTGGAGACTGGCTAGGCCACTCCAGGACCTTGAAATGCTTCTTACGAAGCCACTCCTTCATTGCCCGGGCGGTGTGTTTGGGATCATTGTCATGCTGAAAGACCCAGCCACATTTCATCTTCAATGCCCTTGCTGATGGAAGGAGGTTTTCACTCAAAATCTCACGATACATGGCCCCATTCATTCTTTCCTTTACACGGATCAGTCGTCCTGGTCCCTTTGCAGAAAAACAGCCCCAAAGCATGATGTTTCCACCCCCATGCTTCACAGTAGGTATGGTGTTCTTTGGATGCAACTCAGCATTCTTTGTCCTCCAAACACGACGAGTTGAGTTTTTACTAAAAAGTTGTATTTTGGTTTCATCTGACCATATGACATTCTCCCAATCCTCTTCTGGATCCTCCAAATGCACTCTAGCAAACTTCAGACGGGCCTGGACATGTACTGGCTTAAGCAGGGGGACACGTCTGGCACTGCAGGATTTGAGTCCCTGGCGGCGTAGTGTGTTACTGATGGTAGGCTTTGTTACTTTGGTCCCAGCTCTCTGCAGGTCATTCACTAGGCCCCCCCTTGTGGTTCTGGGATTTTTGCTCACCGTTCTTGTGATCATTTTGACCCCACGGGGTGAGATCTTGCGTGGAGCCCCAGATCGAGGGAGATTATCAGTGGTCTTGTATGTCTTCCATTTCCTAATAATGGCTCCCACAGTTGATTTCTTCAAACCAAGCTGCTTACCTATTGCAGATTCAGTCTTCCCAGCCTGGTGCAGGTCTACAATTTTGTTTCTGGTGTCCTTTGACAGCTCTTTGGTCTTGGCCATAGTGGAGTTTGGAGTGTGACTGTTTGAGGTTGTGGACAGGTGTCTTTTATACTGATAACAAGTTCAAACAGGTGCCATTAATACAGGTAACGAGTGGAGGACAGAGGAGCCTCTTAAAGAAGAAGTTACAGGTCTGTGAGAGCCAGAAATCTTGCTTGTTTGTAGGTGACCAAATACTTATTTTCCACCATAATTTGCAAATAAATTCATAAAAAATCCTGCAATGTGATTTTCTGGAATTTTTTTTCCTCAATTTGTCTGTCATAGTTGACGTGTACCTATGATGAAAATTACAGGCCTCTCTAATCTTTTTAAGTGGGAGAACTTGCACAATTGGTGGCTGACTAAATACTTTTTTTCCCCACTGTACAATTAGCTTGGCTGTGCGGAGCGGAGGCGTATTGTTGAGAGAGTCTCAGGCTGTCTGTATGTTGGTCGGCCGGCTGGCCATTCTCATGTGTGCTCTGGGCTGTATGCTCATCTGAATGCTGGTTACCTGAGAGAGATAAGGAACAGAGAGGAAGAGGAAGAGAGGGAACAGACGGAGGGAGGGAGGAAGCCAGCCTGCAGCCCCGGGCCCCAGGTCTCTACGCCTCTTTAAGAAATGTCAACATAGAGGAAAAGTCCTAGTGCTCCGTCAGCACACTGAGAGGAAAGAAATAATGAGAGCCAGGTGGGGGAGAAAGAGAGGGAGAAAGCCCAGGTGATGATAAAATAGCTTTCCAATCAGCAGTGTGTGTGTGTGTGTGTGTGTGTGTGTGTGTGTGTGTGTGTGTGTGTGTGTGTGTGTGTGTGTGTGTGTGTGTGTGTGTGTGTGTTTGAACCCAATGGGGAATAGTATCAGCTCATTAAAACCCACAGCTTGCGGGCTGAAGGGATATCTCCGTATTGTGAGGCAGAGACTAGGCTGATAAGATAAACTATCAATCTCTGACTTCCCTTCCCTCTCTATCTGTCTTTCTGTCTCTCTCCCCTCCTCAGGTGGAAAGGGCGGCAAGAAAAAGAAGTCGAAATGTGGGACAAAGACCTCCAAATCCAATGGGTCCTGTTGGGTCAACATGCCCCTGCCTCCCCCACCCATGCACCCTCTGCCAGGCACCGAGGTAGACCACTACCCCCCAGAGAACCATGGAGGAGGGTAAGATAATATTCTCTCTGTCTGGCCACAGGTCTATACCTACATACATAATATCATGATGCTACACAGGAAGTGAAATAATAACAAGGAACACATGCAGCCTCTCTTGTCTATAAGGGATCTGAGGTCTGTCAGTGAACGACTGAGAGGAAAGCAAACCCTCTCCTAATTAGCTGTAACCAGCGTGGCTCTCTCTTTCCTGGAACTCTCCTATATCTCTAGATGTGTGTGTGTGTATGTATGTGTGTGTGTGTGTGCACATGCATCGTGTGTCTGTGTACACAAGGAGAGCGCTAAGCACAGACGAGCAGCAGGCTGTTACGTGGAGTAGTAAGCTCCCACTGCCGGTGCATGTACTAGACATACTGAGGAAACCTTCATTACTCTGCATGAAAAAGACACTGTGTTACAAACAGCAGCAAATATGTGTAATTCCCACTCTCCCTCTGCTGAGAGATAGAACATCAGATAACAATGTTTTTAATGGTCCGGCAAAATACAAACCAGTAGAAAAACAATTGTACTTGTCTGTTAGCAAAGCATACAACACTGAGAGCAGGTCACTGTGCACTAGCAGTAAAACACTTACTTAGAATTCTAAGCACCTTAGACACACACATCCACAGAGAAGTACAGTATAAGGTTTTAGTCCGAATTACACACATTGTCGTCCATATTGCAGGTATGACAGCAACAGCTGGGCCCCGCCCCTTCCTGTTCAGACGTACCTCCACCAGGGATTGGACGGCGATCTGGAGGAGGAGCGAGTGCCCACCCCGCCCCTCAGGGGAGTGGCCTCCTCCCCGGCAGCAGCTCCCTACAGCCAACCGTTATCCTCCTCCCTTAGCTCCACCCACCACGAGGAGATGCAGTCCATGCTGCAGGCCCACCTGGATGAGCTGACCAGAGCCTACCAGTACCAAGTGGCCAAACAAACATGGTGAGCAGGAGAGAACTTACTGTTGGATCTGTGAATGTCTTTCTTTCTTTTTTTGAATTATACCTCTTTACTTTCTATGTAGTCTCTTCTCAAGTCTGAGTCTGGCGAGAGACACTACTTTCTATGTATCCGTAGATCATGATATGATACAACAATTGTGCTTGCTACATGTTTTGAGTGTTATGTATCCACTTTCCACTGTGCAATGAAGATAAGTACTGTACTTTGTGTTATTTTGAATTGCCACAGGTACTTGTTAGATTAAATTGCCTATGATATTTCAATCATGAGATATTCACCTGGTAATTTCTGCTTTGTGCTGTGGATGAATGAGCTGTCATTCTCTCCAATTGATCTGGATCCTTTTGCATATCAATAGCCAGTGTTTTCGAGTGTATGTCATCCTATCCCCTGGTTTCATGTTTCTTGCAAAATATAAAAACAGCCCTTCATTGATTACACCTCATTGGGAAACTTGTCATGTCAGTAGGAAAACGTGTTGAGGGGGTAATGATGGGGTTTGGCCTAGCGCGCTTCTCTGACAACAAGAAGAAGAGCTGCTAATTACATGGGTGTCTCATCCGTAGTGGGGCGAGGCGTGGGGCAAGGATTCAGAGGGGACAGCTGTGGGGGAGATAACAGACATGTTACTGATAGCCATGCCCAGCCTGCCATTCTTCTCCCTTCACCCAGACAATTACCAGTTCATTGTGTAAGTGTGAGCACGAGTGCCGCGGAATTAGCCGACGCATTCGCAGCGCGGCGCACATGGAAAATAATTAATTCAATCTCCCACACACAGACTCGCCCATGCTGAACGGGGCCCTAGTACTGCACTCTGGTATTTGGTTGTTCATGGACTTGTGTTTTGTCCTTTACTTCCTGTCTGTTAGTGTCTTTATCTACCGCTCTGTGTCTAGCCTCAGCGCCATAACATGTTCCCTCATGTTCTATACAGGCATATGAATGGCAGCCAACACCCGCCCAAGGCCCCTGTCCCTCCAATGGGGTACGTGTCTAGCACGCTGGGGTCTGACCTGGGGACCAACATCCCGTGTGAGGAAGAGGAGGAGGATGAAGCCTACGGAGTGTCACATCAGCTCTGTGGCTTTGACTACACGGCCGGATGCAGCATGGACAACCTGGAGGGCTCAGGTGAGACACACACACACTCACACACAAACACACACACACACACATGCACACAAACACACACACACAAATACATACCCATAAGCACACAATCAGATCATGCCCTTCATCTTTTCACAGTGCGGTCAGGTGCACACGTCTTTACATCGAGCAGGATGACAAAGATTTGGGAGCAGTGAGAAAAATTGGCAATAGCAATATGGTTTTATTCAGTCACCACTTATGGAGACTAAATGCCTTGCACATTATGCAGTTTCGACTGACAGCTTTTTGATTTCCAATTTTCTCAACCGTACTGTGTCATACTCAGACCCAATTGTCTGATTGTTTCATACTGTGATATTCAGACTCATTAATTTTAACAAGGAATTGAATGAAAGGGAAATAAAGAAAATATTCTGTGCAATCTGGTGTGGACACATGAGTGAAATCCATCTCCATTAAAGAAAGAAACATTAAACTAGCTAGTTATTTGATTTCAGATGGATCCAATAATTTCTCTACGATATCTAATTTAGGCTTTTTGTTTCAATTACTCGATGCCATTTCAAGTTTATGACCATGTTGTCTAAACACTTAATCTTTTAGCCTCTCTAATGTTCTGAATGAAAGCTAATGACTCGGAAGAGTGTCTGACATCAAAAGCTATGAGGAGAGTGAGAGCACAAGGTGTGGGGACTTCAGATCCAGAGGTCAAGAGTGTGATGTGTTTTTGTAGACCCCTAGTCTGAGTTGTGGGGGAGACCACGGTTCAGTCCTAGTCAGTTTTCTTGGAGATGATGGAACATAAGGTGTGCTGGCTGAGACACAGGAGACAGTGCTGATATACTGTGGTGTGTCTGTGATAAAGTAGGTGATGTGCATTAATCTGCTGTGTTGCCTCTATGGGGAGAAGGCTACGCTAGATCAGCTTATCTCTACAATGGTCTCTCCGCTGTCTCCTTTCCCGCAGAGACCAGGCCAACACACACACAGAGAAAAAAGGCAAATGCATTTAGGATGGGAGCGGAATTATAACCACAATGTGTCTTTTTCCTTGAATTGTCAAGATGTGAAAGTTTACCCATACTACCCACACAAACAGTCTTATCTAGGAAGGTTTATTGCACTGATCTTTACCCCCTCTCCTCTCTTCCTCTCCTCAGTTAATTTGATTTACAACAGTTATTTTTTCATACTTGTGTTAATTTTAGCACTTTCACTGAATCATTTCTAACATAGCTTTTGCACTGCTAAACTCTATGATAATAAGTAATTGCTTGCAAATCTAAACTGATTAACTATGTTGTGCATCTCTCTAATTCTCTGTCCCTGTGTCCCCTCTCCATCGCCCCCTGTAGGTAAAGGCTACTCCCAGCGGGGTCGACCAGGCAGCTCAGGCTCCACAGAGAGCAGTGCTCTGGGCACACAGAGCCTCGGTCACCAGAGGGCCACACACACTGGACGCAAACCTCGGGCAGAAACTGTTGGGACACTGCCCCGCCGGAGAGACTCCCCCACAGAAGGTAAGACATGGGGTGGGGGGGGGGAGAGGACAGAGAGAGAGATGGGGAGGGTGGATGGGATCTCCTTTGTTGAATGTGGTTTATAACGAGCTACATTGAGTGTACAAAACATTAAGAAAACCTTCCTTATATTGAGTTGCACAACCCCCTTTTGCCCTCAGAACAACCTCAATTCGTCGGGGCATGGACTCTACAAGGTGTCGAGAGCGTTCAAAAGGGTTGCTGGCTCATGTTGACTCCAATGCTTCCCACAGTTGTGTCAAGTTGGCTGGATGTCCTTTGGGTGGTGGAACATTCTTCATACACACAGGAAACTGTTGAGTGTGAAAAACCCAGCAGCGTTGCAGTTCTTGACACAAACTGGTGTGCCTGGCACCTACTACCATACCCTGTTCAAAGGCACTTAAACATTTTGTCTTGCCCATTCACCCTCTGAATGGCACACAATACACAATCCATGTCTCAATTGTCTCAAGGCTTAAAAATCCTTCTTTAACATATCTCCTCCCCTTCATCTACATTGATTGAAGTGTATTTAATATGTGACATCAATAAGGGATCATAGCTTTCACCTGGATTGACCTGGTCAGTCCATGTTCTGGAATGTTTTGTCCACTCAGTGTATATGTCCATGCTGATCCCTGTGACATTTTCCACCGATTACAAAGGCTGCTGTGTATAACCCACCTTGGGGGCAGTATTAACCTGAGCCTCATGTCCTACTCTCCCTCCTCAGTGGCCTCTCCTGCCCCTGAGCCTGTCCACAGTGTGGGGGCAAGGCTGCATGGGTCATGGGCGGCTGGGGGCTCGGACCCCCCAGAGGAGTGTATGGTCTCAACGCTGGAGCGGCAGCATATGGCCTCCTGGAGCGGCAGATCCTCCAACATGGGCACCCTGGGCAGGGCACGCCACAGGGCTGTGGCTGGCACAGACCACCCACACAACGGCCACCCGCCTCCCAACAGCATCGAGCATAGCTATGGGGAACGATGTACGTATTCAGGCTCTCCGTAGTCACACAATGGTATTGTTTCCGGTTGGTGTAAAGCAATTTACTGTTGGTTATATGTGATATCATCACATGAGATTCACACTTTTGTCTGTCTGTGTGTCTTCATCTCTCAGAGTCTTTGTGATGAGTCGGACCCTCCAGTGCTGCCTGTCCCAGGACACCTTGTCTACAAGCGCAATGAGATTTGCTCTCTGCGAATGCTACAGGATGGAGGATGAAGAGATGGCTGGAAGACAAAAGAGAGAGAAAGATGGAGCGAGAGAGAAACGCAGAGCTGTAAATGCGATGTACAGACACACAGACACACAGTGTTACTTTCATCCCTCCTTCCAAAAGAATATACTGTATATCACATGCCCCTCCTGTTTCATGTCACATGATGTACAGTAACTCACTCTACATCAATGAAGAAGAAAAATCCCTACAGTTAAGCTATTGACTCATGAAAGTGAAAGGACTTGCATTTCTTGTAAATAGGTATTTTTTGTTTTTCTATTTTTGTTTGCTTTGCTATGCAAGCCAAAATCTGACATTGAAGTTGTCTCGTTTGTTTGTAATATTACATTGTGAATTGATGGACTGTGATGCCACATTTGTTTTTCATAAATGCTCGAAATATTTGCTTAATTTTGATGAAACTACTGTATTGTTGTTTACTTTGCACAGAGCGTTTTGTGATGATAAGCACAAAGTCATCAGCTGATACTCAGAGAAGAATGATGAAAGGAGTGTCTATAATAGAACTTACATTTAAAAAATAGAATATATGACACAGGAAATGCTTTTCAGAGACACAGATGTATTCAGAGATATAAGAAACACAAAGAAATTCAGAAATAAAAAATACGCCCACATAGAAAATGTTATGATGTTTTGTTTTTCAATCTGCAGTGGTCCATGGGGATGATGTGGCAGATGTGCAATGTTGCCCATACACTATATGCCCATGACAGTGAGGCAGCAGTACTTGGATCCCTCCAAATAATGACAGTTCAGAATGATCAATAAAGGGTTAAACCATCTATGTGTAACATTTCAAATGGAACTGCTGATGCAGAGGCAGAGGACAGTAGCTAGTTGTTGATAGGGAGGTGTTGGGCCTATAGAGCACCATTCAGGTGTGGTCAGGTGTGGACAGCTGTGTGCACAGATGGACTCTGTCAGTGTTGCCCATGGGAACAGAGTGATAACATAGTGAGACAGGCCTTAAGATAAAGATATGTTGGCCTTTAGACATCTAGCTAATCTCGGACTGGGTTTCCATTGCTCTGAGTGACTGGCAAGCACTATTAACAACAATATGCAATTAGATTATAATAATAGACCCATCATAGATGTGATGGCCGTCTGTTTTAATCCTACTGGTGCAGTATAATGTGGCCCCTCTATCACCCTGGTAACAGACTGGTAACAGATGAACCCTCATCTGGACATGTATGGTTACCTAGGCATAGTGAGCCCCTTGCCAAGTGAGGATACCCTTAACACTTTAACCAGTCACGGAGGGCAGCTGGTTGCTAGTTTTTGCCTACGAGATTCATAATGCAGTGTTTTGATTCCCTTCTTTGTATGGTTCTTTTCTGGTTGTTCTTTGTATTGGCTCCACCTGTAAAAACTCTGTACCTGCCAGAGTCCGGTCTGCCCTCAGGAATACACGTACAGTGTAGCCAATCCTACAATACAAATAAAATGTGTATGTGGAATCAACCATGAGTCTCTGTGCTATGCATGTGAGTTGATTGTCCAAGATATTCTCTTCATATGATAAATGTTCATACTGATTTTATTAATACTGATTTTCCCATTAGGACATTATGTGCATACACTTATAAGCGCTACATTAGCATAATGCACACGCTTTTAACAGGATCAGAGATGAGTTACATATGAATAAGAACAATACTCGGTCTCCCTCTCTCAAGCGTCTCCATGTTAAATCAGTCTTAGTCAGAGCTAATGGGAAAATAAAATAATTATTACTCCATTTCTATGCATCCATCCCTTCACTCTCCCTTTTCCTACACCAGAACACATTTACTAACTGGAGGAAATGTCAGAGTCATCTATTTACCAATAAAATATTGAACACAGGTCTAGCATCGGCGATTTGGGGATTCCATGATAAAACGAAAGATGAGGATGAATGACGATGATGATTCTCTCCTTTATTCCAGTTATTTTCCATCATCTTTATGGGATTTTGTAAATGCATGTGAATTCAGTGGTGATTACATTTCAGACATGTTCGTCGTTAGCAGTCTACATACTGTAGCTCATTTACTGCATTCACGAAATGCAATTGCATTCATTTAAAGAGTTATGGTGGCTTTTCCTGGGGCATCCATGCCTTTCAACTCCATTTGTCTTATAATGTACTGTACTCACTACACCTAATGTATCACAACTGCGACATGAGATCACATTAGTACTACAAATATCCAAATCATTGTTGCATACTGCATTGGTTCCAGCCTCTGTCACATACGGTACATCTCTCATCTCTCTGGGCTAAGCCTGGCTGTTCCTACTGGCCAAACAGAGAGGTACACAACTCTATTCCACCCCGCGTCCTTTCCATTACATTTCTACCTACATCCTGCATCTTTCTGTAATATGACCCTTCTTTACACCCAGTTTAATAACGATTAACCTTGACAGCTTAGTCATCACATGTAACACCTTTCCTCTACTCAGTGTTGCCATTCCGTGTGTGGACAAAACCTTTGAAATGATTCTAGCTATGGAGCGGTGGCCTTGCAGCTAGAACAGCTCATCCATGAAATTTGGCTAATTGCAAAGTTTGAACAGTATGCTTGTGTGATGTGATTACATGGGAGCCACAGGACAGCAGACCACAGAGGGAAGGAGAGGATGGAGGTCCCAGTCTAAAGCACCATTACCCCCAGGTGGAGAGGGTGGAGGCCCCAGTCTACAGCACCATTACCCCAGGTGGACCCTAGTCTCGCGTTGCCATACCTCCAAATTCACATCGTTGTCACGCCATAATTTTGTGTTGCAAAAATGGTTTGAATGGTCTGCTGTCTCCCAGTGGCCAGATTTTGATTGGATGTTACATTTCAAGCAGTGGAGGCTCCTCAGAGGAGGAAGAGGAGGACCATCCTCCTCAGTGAATTTCATTTTAAAAAATAGTGAAACATTAAAAAAGTTGTCCTTTTTAGATAAAACTATACTAAATATAGTCACATCACCAAATAATTGATTAAAACACACTGTTTTGCAATGTTCTACAGTAACCTCAACACCATGGTGTAGCCGGAGGACAGCTAGTTTCCGTCCTCCTCTGGGTACATTGACTTCAATACAAAACCATCATGGTTCTCACCCCCATAGACTTACACAGTAATTATGACAACTTTTGGAGGACGTCCTCCAACCTATCAGAGCTCTTGCAGCATGAACTGACATGTTGTCCACCCAATCAAAGAATCAAAGAATGAATCTAGTACTGAAAGCATATGCTACAGCTAGCTAGCACTGCAGTGCATAAAATGTTGTGAATAGTTGACTCAAAGAGAGAGAAAGACATTAGTTGAACAGTTTTGAACAAATTCATTTCTTAAAAAATGAAGGAGAAGCAAGAGAGAGAGAGAGAGAGAGATGTCCTTGTATTTTTTTCACTTTCACTTATGAATGCAGCTAGCTTACTCAAATACCCAGCTCAAACAGAGATGTTAGCTAGCTGGCTGTGGCTATCCAAAAACACTGGAACTCTTCCAAGTCATGGTAAGCTTTTGGTTTGATTCTTTATTGCCACCAGGGCCCACCGGTGTAACTGCTTGCTGAATGTACACTGTACTGCATGATTGTAGCTGGTTTACTAACGCGTTAGTTCTAGTAGTTATGTTGACTATGACGTTAGCTAATATGGTGACAATTATGTAGGCTGTGTGTAGAGAGGTTAGCGGTTATGATATGAAGGTTTGGCTTGGAAAGCTGATGTGATAGCTGATGTGTTGTGCACTGAAGTCCAAAAGCGAAGGGAAAAGGTGAGAGGAGGAGAGCATGTAGATGCGAGAAGGAATTACAATGAGCTAAGTGATCATGCTGTTTGTATGTGGCTGCTATGAAAGTGAACTATGTTTGCGTGTGATCAGGGGTGTATTCATTCCGCCGATTCTGTTGAAAAATGTTTCTTAAATGGAAGCAAACAGAACTAAATGGGGATAAACGTACCTGAATTTGTCCAATAGAAACTCTTGTTTGCAACTGTTGGACTAATGATTACACCCTAAATCAGCTAGATGCAGGCAAGACTGGGCAAGGTGGTATTGAATGTGTCACTCACCTTGATTACACAAATTTTTCTCTCGACCTGTGCACCTACATTGGAAACATTCATTCATAGGCTAGGTTGTAGCAACCTCATGATGAGTATAGGAAAAATCAGAGTATCATGTAGTAGCCTAAACCTATCGATGTTACATTGAGCTTGGTGAATTAAATGTGAATGACAGTTATCCAATATCCTGTAATAGAAATAAGGCCATGCTCATTAAAAAAAATATATTGTCCTCCCTCATCTTAAATGGCACCGATCGCCACTAGTTGCTCACAGAGTTGGAGTCAAAGGGGCCCGAGACCCCAAGGACTTTCACATACTGTACTGTAAGAGAATTGAAGACTGTTCTTTGCTGTACAATAAGGTGTTTTAGCACTTCCCTGGGGATAAATCTGTGCATCCAGCAGAAGCAGAGGACACACTGGAAAACAGGCTTGTACCATCGAGAATGAACTGCACTTATTCTATTGTACTTTATATGATTTGAGAGCTACACTGTTTAATAAAATGTTGCAAAGAAAACAGTAACTATTCTGGAGTAGAGATGAAGAAAAAGTTGAATGGCTATTTAGGAAATTTTATTTCCAAAGCTTAGAAGATGTGACAAGATAAGTTGTATACTTGAAGTGTTTTTGTTTTGTTTTCTCAATTGTACAGTTGAAGTCGGAAGTTTACATACACTTACGTTGGAGTCATTAAAACTCGTTTTTCAACCACTCCACAAATGTCTTGTTAACAAACTATAGTTTTGGCAAGTCGGTTAGGACATCTACTTTGTGCCTGACACAAGTTTGTTGTGCCTACAACAATTGTTTACAGACAGATTATTTCACTTATAATTCACTGTATCACCATTCCAGTGGGTCAGAAGTTTACATACACTAAGTTGACTGTGCCTTTAAACAGCTTAGAAAATTCCAGAAAATGATGTCATGGCTTTAGACGCTTCTGAGAGGCAAATTGACATCATTTGAGTCAATTGGAGGTGTACCTGTGGATGTATTTCAAGGCCTACCTTCAAACTCAGTGCCTCTTTGCTTGACATCATGGGAAAATCAAAATAAATCAGCCAAGACCTCAGAAAAAAAATTATAGACCTCCACAAGTCTGGTTCATCCTTGGGAGTAATTTCCAAATGCCTGAAGGTACAACGTTCATCTGTACAAACAATAGTACGCAAGTATAAACACCATGGGACCACACATCCGTGATACCGCTCAGGAAGGAGACGCGTTCTGTCTCCTAGAGATGAACGTACTTTGGTTCGAAAAGTGCAAATCAATCCCAGAACAACAGCAAAGGACCGTGTGAAGATGCTGGAGGAAACAGGTAAAAAATTATCTATATCCATAGTAAAATGAGTCCTATATTGACATAACCTGAAAGGCCGCTCAGCAAGGAAGAAGCCACTGCTCCAAAACCGCTATAAAAAAGCCAGACTACGGTTTGCAACTGCACATGGGGACAAAGAT